TTTGCAAACCTGCATCATTTTGGGAAAATGTACTTTGGTCAGGCGAAACGAAAATTGAACTCTCTGGCAGAAATGCTGTGGCAAAGGTCTGGAGAAAAAAAGGGTACTGAATATTCGTCGAAGAATACTATCTAACAGTAAAATTTGGAGGCGTATCAATCATGATCTTGGGTTGGTTTAGTGCCCAAGGTGTAGGGAACATTGAGATAATAGAAAGCAGGATGAATGGAGCATATTATAGAGATATTTTGGAGATAAATTTACGCCAGAACTCACATTCGCTGGGCTTGAAACCTTGTTGGGTCTTTCTGCAAGAGAACGATCCTAAATTTATTGCAAGGCTTACAAAATCATGGTTAAGTTTAAATAGAATAGACGTTCTAAAATGGCCAAGTCAATCTCCAGATCTCAATCCGATTGAAAATTTATGGAGAAAGGCGAAACAAAGAATTCAAAGAAAGAACATGCAAAACTTGCATGAACTAAAGGAATTTTGTCGTGAAGTATAGAAGAAATAGTAACCAAGAAACATGTAAGAAATTCGTAAGGAACTACTCTAAACGCCTACATATTGTAATTAGCAATAATGGTTACGCTATGAAATATTAATAGATGATTTAATAAATGTATTGTAAACTTTTGCGTTATTAAATATTGTTTTTTCTTCATTATTTACATTATTCGGACTATTGTCCTCATCTTTATCGCCATATTTATCACAACGTTTCGGCCGTTATACGCTCCGGCCTTCTTCAGGTGTTTGGAATTTCGAACTGAACCCTTTATTTCGCTCACTGGGGTAGACTGTTCTAGTTCCACGTGCCATGTTTGATGGATGTCAGTTATCAGTTATCTCCTGCTAATTTCCCTCTGAATGTTCTCTGCCTTAACCGGACAAGAATGTGATGATAGTCAGTTTCTGTTTACATAACCTAACCTAAACAAAATCAACTATGGAATCTCCACAAATATTCTTAAATGTCTATAATTGGTAACAGAATCCATTGGTTTATACCAACGGCTTCCCATACTTAATACTTCTCGAATTCACTCTCGCGTTGTCATGTGTGACGTCATGAGCTGCGATGCGATTTTCGCTTCCAGCGTCTTATATGTACGTGTTTAGCGTTGCTTGGAAATCATCCATGTAAACAGAAACAGACTATCATCACATTCTTGTCCGTGTATTGCTTAATATATTGTAATGTAAGTGCCATCTTTGATAATGGCTTATGTAAGTGCACCAGGTCTCTGCATTCGTCCCTTCAAAATGTGTGGATGGTTCTGCATTAAACCTTCACCATTATAATCAAATCATATGTGCATGTGTCTGGCTGTGGGTTGCTTGGCTCTCATACATCGAATACGTATACGGAAGAGTCCACCACCAACAAATATATATATATATATATATATATATATATATATATATATATATAAAAGAAAGAACATTAAGATATATAATCCGGTGTTCTTATAGATATTTTTATTTTTACAAAATAGTGCTCGATGTAAATTTACAGAGCATTAATATTATAAATTAATTGATTTAAAATATGTTTTTTTTCGCTACACAGTTCTAACCATGTTTCAAAAATGGAAGCTGAAAGCCTCGAATTTAATTTTGTAATTAAATTAAAGACATTAGTTCCATTTCATCCTCAAGCGAATTTTTCTTGAGGATGAAATGGAACTAATACGAATTCGCTTGAGGATGAAATGGAATAAGGTCTTTAATTTAATTACAAAATTAAATTCGGGGCTTTTATCTTACATTTTTGAAACATGGTTAGAACTGTGTAGCGAAAAAAAATATTTTAAATCAATTAATTTATAATATATATATATATATATATATATATATATATATATATATATATATATATATATTTAGGAAGCAATCCTTCATTTATGCATGTTTCATTAAAAACAGACAAGGTACTATGGTTAAGCTTTTTATTTAATTTTTTGTGTTCGAACAAGAGCTTTCTTTTTTGGACAAAGAGTGTGTAAAAACTGTCCAAATGTTTTATAGTTCCGAGTGCTTTCGGCTATACACTTAGACATTATCACGGATGATTCAGCTTAATTGAGTGTGTGCATTATGTGTATGTTTTAATGTGTTGTAGAGATGTTTTTAATTTCCGAATACGGTTAGCACATTGTGGCCTTGTTCGTAGTTGTTAAGAGTTGGCTTTTTGTTTTTATTATTAAAGCTTCCATTATTTTTAATCTTTTTTTTACAAGTGGATGAAGTTATTATATTTGTGTTTTCTACTAGTATGTTCCTAATGGAGTTTGGTAAATTTGTGTGTGTGTTTAAATGGGTTCTAATGGAGCTATGATCAAATAAGTGTAACGTAAGGCGTCTAGATAAGCATGTATTTGTATAACCGATGTAATTGTTTATGAGTCTGGTTTGATGAGGAACACACAATTCTTATATATATATATATATATATATATATATATATATAAATATATTTATATTTAACGTTAT